ATCCTATGTAACTCGACTAAAGTTGTTTATTTCATCTTTGAGAAACAAATTAAATGGCTTTATAATTAAGAACCCTATTGCAAAAGATTGTAGGTTAACTAGCGCAAAATAACACATAGTGCAAATAGAAAAAAAATAACACAAGAATTTAACGAGGTTCGTCTAAGCCTAGTCCTTGGGGCGGGAGCAGAGAGAGTTTTTCACTATGAATGAAAAGAAAAACACAATACAATCTATAGAATCCCCAACTACAACTCCTATATATAGATCCCAAGTAGTCTTAAACCTATAAGAGAAAGATTTTTCTAATCTTACAAGCACAGTAAGTTTTTCTTTCCCAAATCTAGTAGAACAATATATTTCCCAAACCTATAGGGATTATAAATTTCCTAGAAACAAGAAAATCTAATACAACTAGGATTCAAAAAAATTTCAAGACACAATTAGCAAATCTTCCTCTTGGCTTGATTCTCTTCATTAACAAGCTCTATCTATTAATGCATATATCAACCAAGTCTAGGTAATATCTAATCTTGTTAGGAGACTCAATCACTTCAGCCATAGCACCATTTCATCGATCTGCTTTTGCACTCGAAATAGCTTCTAGATAACTATTACAAGTAAGCACATCAACGATCTCTGCAACTGACAAATCAAATTCCAGTAGATTTGCATATCTAAGAAGATTTTCATCAATTACGTTTGCAAATCCTTGTGGTCAGTTGATCCCTCTCTTATCTCTGCATATTGCAATACTATATGGTTTATATTGCACAGGTGCATCAACATTATCATCTTAATTAATATTTTTCACCTCATCCACTTTCGCTACTTCTGAACTACTAGGATAAGCTGGTGGAGATTCAATTTATTGCTTTATGTGGTCACTGAAACCATAATCTATTTCTGCTATTGCCTTCTCCCTCTGACAGTGCGGCAAGGCAGATTCACTGAATGTTTTGGAGTCTTTTGATCCATGCACCACAACCTATAATTGTTCGCTCCAATTGCATACCCTAGTAATATGCATTTCTTTGCCTCGACTCAAGTTTTTTATCCTTCACATGATCATAAGCAGGACAATCAAATATTCTCAAATTTAAATAATTAGCAGGCGATCCAAACCATACCTTAAAAGGAGTTTTAAACTCAGTAGTTATGGATGTAGATATGTTGATCCAAAGAAAATTGTATTGATTGCTTCAGACCAAAAATCTTTGCTAACACATGAGCCTGAAAGCATGATTCGCGCTCTATCACAAAGCTTTCTATTCATATGCTCTAAAATATTATTTTGTTGTGGTGTTTCAACATATATGCGGTGTCTCACTTTTGCCTATCTACTGCAGAAATTATTAAATTCTAAATTAAAAATTCCAACTCATTGCCAATCCGAAGATGCTTAACATTTTTTTTATATCTGACTCTTAACCATCGTCTTCTATTTAATAATTTTTGGAAAATGCCTCATCTTTTATTTTTAGAAATTACACCCAAACAATTTTTGTGTAATTATCAATCAAAGTCATAAAATACTAGCAGCACTCTTTGAGGAAACTCTGTTTGGAACCTACACGTCTGAATGTATATAGTCTAACTTGTTTGCGGTCTTGTGCTCTGCCTTCTTACTGAACTTCAGCTTTGTATGTTTACCAAATACAGAATGCTCACAAAACTTTAAAGCTTAATTTTTGTACCCATCCAGCAAATTCTGCTTGCTCAACAAAGACAATCCCTTGTTACTCATATGACTAAGTCGCAAGTGCCACAACTGAGACTAATTCAAATCACTCTTTCTAGAAGCTACAACAGCATCCCCTCAAATACACTAGCCTAAAGATATATAGTCTAGAATGCAGCTTACCCTTCATGAGTACCATGAGCCTTTATACACTCTAAGTGTTTCGTTCTCAAAATGGAATCTAAAGCCTTTCTCATCCAAAGTCGAGAGAGAAATCATAATCCTTTTTATTTGAGGAATGTGACAACACTCAATATTTATGATAATTCTATCAAACATTCTCAATTTGATGTTACCAATCCCCTTTACAAGTAATAAATTATTTAGTTGCGAACCAATTCTTGTGTGAACACATGTGAAAAGTTGTACCAGAATAAAGAACATGTGAGTTCTGCTTATGACTAGAACTCAAGGCACATACTTCTCCTACAAAGTCGTATCATCATAATTGTTGCCAGTGTCAATAATATTTGCAGAATTATTTATTTTCGCTTACCCTTTTTCTCTTTTAACTTAGGATAATCTCTCCTATAGTGACGCTACTCTCCGTACTGATAGCAGTTCTGCTTCCTTGCTCTATACTTCTATCTGGCGTTAGACTATTTCCTATTAAAGTCTTTCTATTATATTCTTTCCCTACTTAAAAGACCCTCGCCCTCAATTCTACTGTTAGAAAAGCTCGTTTTTCAACTCTTTATATTTAGTTCATTACTAACATCTTCTAGTGATATATTGTCTTTCACATATAACAACGTATCATCAAAAGTATTGTAAGATAGTGGAAAAGAACATAACACAATCAAGGCCTGATCCTCACTCTCACTTTTGGAATCTTTGTTTTTCAGGTCCATTATAATTGAATTAAACTTATCAATGTAAGTTTTATAGGTGTACCTTTATTTATATAGAGATTATACAACTTATATTTCAGGTGGAGGTGGTTTGTCAGCAATTTCTTAGAATACAGATCTTCCAGCTTCTGTTGTTGATGTAGAAGATTCTTCAGTAATTTCCTGAAGAACGCTATATGTAATGCTCAAGAAGATCGTACTTAAAGCCCTCTCCTTAAGGTCTTCCTTCTCTAACTCTTTCACATCTTCAGAAAAATCATCATCATTGCTTTTCATAACCCTTGTAACACCAGGACAATTTCATCATAATCTTCGAGAGACTAAAACTAGATACCTCATCGAATTTCTTTACTTCATACTTTATTAAAGATGATGAAAACAACTGAACTCTAGATTATGTGTAGCCAGCTTTAATACCAGTTGTTGGGCTAAATCAGTCCAAAGATACTTTTAACATGGTGTGATATTATCAGCTTTAGGCCAAGCTTGTACGATTTTCTCGAAAAGGCATCATACCATTAAGAGATCCTTAGACCTTATATGCAAGCTTCCGATCTTTTCAACTACCAGTGTGGTACTTTGTTCGCACACCCCAATATTTATTGATTATATCTTGAATTTTATGAATCCTAGTTATATTAGATTTCCTAATACTTTAAGAAACTCATAATCGTTATAGGTTTGGGAAATCCAGTGTTCTAATAGACTTGGAAACGGAAAACTGATTGTCCTTATAGGATTAGGAAAAAATTTCTCTTAGAGGTTTAGGACTACTTGTGATCTATATATAAGGGTTGTAGTTGGGGATTCTATAGATTGTATTGTGATTTTCCTCTCATTCGTAGACTTAGTTGAGCCTCGTTAAATCCTTGTGTTATTTTTTTTTTCTCTATTGGCATTGTTGTAATTGTATTTTAGTTAAGCCACGATCTTCCGAATACTTGATATCAGTGCTTAGGTTCGGTGGTACGAGTATGGCGATGGCGGAGTGATGGTGTGGGGCTCGTTTTTCTTACGCTTACGAGCCTGAAAACGCACACTCAAGAAGAAGTTAGTTGCTGGCTTTGGTTGCCAAAAATGTTCTAACGATGTGGATGGCACGTAATGAATCTCAAAAATTAACCCATTGATCGTGGTAATAGGCCACGTGGAATTTGGTTCGAGGGGAAGACCTGTGGATTATGGTAGTGAGCCACGTGGAACTTAGTCCGGCGGAAAGATTATTGAGTGCGAACAAAGTATGGTAGCTGAAAAGATTTGAAGCCTACGTATAAAGTGTAGGGATCTCTTAATGATGTGAGATTTTTTAGGGAAAACCGACGGACTTGACTCAAAGTAGCGTACAATATCACACCATGTTAAGAGTAATTTTGGATTGGTTTAGCCCAACAAAAACTGTTGTTAGCATAGAGGAACTAATTTCTTCCGACCCCAATAGCAAATAAACTTTCTAAGAATTTTGTTTTTCATTTTTTGTTTACGAGAGAAAGTACTTTACCTTCCTTTTTGCTGTTGCTGTCATTGTCGTTAATTTTAGTGTTTCGCCTAGTGACTTCTCCTTTTTAACATATTGTAAGTTTGTGATCGTCATGGACACATTAAAAAAATAATGTAATAATAATACTCTTTTGGTTCTTTTTTATTAGTTCGTTTCGGAAAGAATAATGTATTTTTTTATTTAAAAACAGTTTAATTCTAAACTTTTTATTTTATTATTTTATCAAAAGTTTTTATAGTCATACAAATTATTTTCAGAACGTTTAAAACTACAAGTTTCAAATGTCTTATACATACGCAAATATTATAGCATGTTTAAGACAATAAATTTCATAAGTTTCATTTTTTTTCTTAGCTAGCGTTTGGACATAGATATAGTTGAAACTTGAAAGAATAAGTTTTTGAAGATGAGATGAAAAGTGGTATTTGAAAGTTAAAATTGTTTTTGGACATGCATTTTAATTGAAAAGAATTTGAAGTTTTGTGAGTAGAAAACTTCAAAAACTACTCGAGAGTTGTTTTTTCGATTTGAAATTTTTGTTTTCAAAATCTGTCAAAAAATAATTTGAGAAAAGTAATCAAACAAAACTTGAAAAAAAAATGCTCCGAAAATTTTATGACCAAATAAAAGCTTAAATTTTATGTCAAGTCAAACTACGTTGCATAAATTGAAACGAAGGGGGAGTATATGACAAAATGGCCAGCCTTGCAAGTGGTACTAAACAACAAAGAGTCATGCATGCACATTAAATTATTCATGTTCTTTTCTTGAGAAGATATAGCAATATGCTAACTGGCAAACTGTACAATTTCTCTTTCCCAGCTAGCCTGCAGCTTCCTTATTCACAACATGGGGTCATCAAGTATTATGATCTAGCTTGCCCTTTTATTAAGGGGACCATTTATTTTCTATCCAGCAAAGGAATCCACAGCTGTGTAACTCACACTAAAGCTAAAAGCTATACCTAAAGTGAGAGAAAACTTCCAAACAAGAGTTGAAAATCTGATCATCAAAAAAGTTTTCCAAGAAAAAGCACTCAACTCAATGCCTGTGATTTTGTTTTAACCATATCTTCATGTGATCAACTTTCAAAAGGCTCAATAAATGTCTTGCCAAATTGCACTTGAATGTCTATAAAAAGGCCAGCTTCTTCATTTCAATCATATAATTCTAAACCAAGAAAGCATCTGGCATATATATTCTTCTCAAGAAAAACATGAAGACTTTCACATTAGTTTTCATTGTCATACTCCTCTTACAGGTAATTTTTAGTTTGATGTATATAACATATGCACTTTTGTTTAGTTGTGATGCAATTTCTATGTTTCGAACTAGCCTAACCTAAACTTGTATTTTAATTTTAGGTTTTCGCTGAGGCTGTTTCCTTTAACAATGGCAAAGATACTGCTGCACAGGTATAAATGTAGTAAATTTATGACAATTTTCTTCAGAACCCCGATTATAAAAGTTGTCCTTCCTTCAAATGAAGAAAACATTCCTTGCTAACCTGCAAATTAAAATATGTACCTGACCTGTTATGTCCCAAAAAAAGTACATTGATCATGTAAAAACGCTTTTGATAGCATATACTTGTAATTTAAGTAACATTTTGCTGCACCTCATAAAAAGGCAACCCGGTACACTAAACTCTTGGCTATGCGCGGGGTTCAGGGAAGGGCCGGACCACAAGGGTCTATTTACGCAGTCTTACCCTGCATTTCTACCGGAATTGAAGTAGGATCCTCTTTTATTTCGTATATCACTTGCGAGATACGAATTCAGTTGATCTCTTCGGTGTAAGCAACTTTGGATCAAAGACAAATCTAAGCTAGTGTGGGCTGTAGTGTTTCTACCACAAAAGTCCAATACGGTGGGTTTTTTCTTTTTCTACGAATTGATTTTTTCATGCACGTAAAACGGTAGCAAAACTTCTTGAGATTATGATTACGTTACTGCATACATAAATTTGTATAGATTCATCTATCATTATTAGAAAATAGATTCATCTATTCTTTTCCGGACCCTGTGTGAATGCGGGATACTTTGTGCACCAAGTTGCTTTTTTTTAAAAAAGGAAATGTATTATATAGCATATGCAAACGTTGATAAGTAAGTAACAATTTTTATTATGCAGATAGAGAAAGCAGGAAATGAAGGGGCTCTTTTCAAGAAAATTCATCATCACTCAATCAGGAAGATCAGTAAGAACTACAAAATCTCTCTACAAAATTTTCTTACATGAACTTTTAAAAAGTTCTCTGGTCACTCATCAATTACATAGATATGATATAGCGAATGAGTGAGCCATGTACGTTAGGCCCTATAGTCGCATATGTTCGAAAATTCCGTGTCCAATTGTTGCAATAATACAATTCTTCATATGCACCCTCAACTCAAGATAGAGGCGGACTTAGGTATAAACTTGAGGGGTCACAGGACCCCGTAAACTTCGGCAGAGATCTTGTGTATATATATATATATATATATATATATATATATATATATATATAAATATATATATATGTACACACATATATAAATTACTTGGCACCCTGAACACTAAAAGCCTTTAAGGGATACTGGTTGAGCAGAATACCGGTGCCCCCGTCGCGTTACAATTCTGGGTCCGCCTTTGGCTCAAGAGGCATAGTGAGATGGTTGGGATCCCTTCACCTCAACTAGAGGTCTGGGTTCACATTCTTGATAGGGAGCATACTTTACCCCTTAGTGGGACAATGCTAATCCGAATTAGTCGGACAAGTAAGTTCTAGATACCAGATGATTAAACCAAAAGATATAATACTTCCCAATATATTGACTTATTAAATTTAGATGTTGAATCCGCCTTTGTACCTATATTTGTTAAACTAATTAATATTACTTTGTAATTGATGAAATTAAACAGATTGTGGGTATGCATGTGCAAGGAGATGCAAGAAGTCATCAAGGAAGAATGTGTGCAAAAGGGCATGCAAGTCGTGTTGTGCAAGATGTCATTGTGTTCCACCTGGCACTTATGGTAACAAGGAAGCTTGCCCCTGCTATGCTAGACTTAAGACTCATGGCAACAGGCCTAAATGCCCTTAATCAATTAGACACTAATAATTTGTGTGAGAATTAAAGAGTGCATTTTCTTAAACATATATGCTTATGTTTTATCCTTTAATATTTGGGTCAGAGGGAATAAAATGATGAGAGATATATTGCTGCATGAGTATGCATGCTTTTGTATTTGTTTATTGACTCTTTTGTTGTGAGGTCGATAACATACATACATATATATATATATATATATGTATTTTGGGAATAAAGTTTATTGATGCTTTTTTGCTTTGTTTGATTCATTTCCCTTTATATCCCGATTTCTATCTTTTGTTCCTTTCTTGATATCCTTATCCAAATGTGTTCGACATAGAAAGAACAAGAATTACGAGTGTATAAACCACTATGAACTTATTACTTCTATGCATCAATTTATACGAGGTAGTTAACTCGACATAAAGTTTAAGAAATAAGAGAAAATTTTAAAACTTGTGATCTTAAAAGCTTAAGGCATAAAAACTTTGTCGGATCATGACATGTGTGTGACTGTAAAAGCTTCTCAATAAGGGTAAAATGAGTCAAATAAAAAGTTTAGCATTTAAGTTGTTTCCAAATATATAAATATTTTTTTTAACCGACCAATAAGAAAAATGTGTCATATAAATTAGGTGTATAGGGTAAAATTGGTTTATATTAAAGGGAAAAAGGCCATTATTGCCCCTGTACTATTGGCATTTAAGCACGTTTCTCCCTCGTTATACTATACGTTCAATCCTCACCCTACCGTTAACAAAGTAAGCAAAAATACCCCTAACCCTAACGTTTTGACACTGTGGCACCTAGGACCCTCAAATAAATTGCCACGTAATAGTACATGTCAGCATTTTTGTAAATTCACTACCCAAAAAATTATTTTAATTCCTTTTTCCTTTTTTCTTTTACTTTTCTCTTTCTTCTTTTTTCAACATCAGTTCTTCTGCTTCTTTAACGCCAACTGGGCGAATTATCCACCCTAATTTTAAAGACCCCTCACTTCTCCTCAATTTTCAGCTCCACAACTCGATTCAATCTGAACCAAACCAGTCCAAATGCTCTCAAACTTCAAAAATAAGTTCTTCTACTCAATACCAAGTATACTTAACAACACACAGCTGATTTCAAATACAAAAATTGGAGTTCAATTCAAACCCACTTCAATACTTAAAAGCTGCTCAATAATGGTGGTTTTTTCTTGCTCCGATTCGTTTCCCAACAGCAACCAAGCATTAGGAACAACTTAGCCCCTCAATTCTAGCTTCAAATCACACAGAAAACCTTCAAATATTCTATGAAGCTCAGATTTCGAAGTTGACATAGTGAAAACGCCGAGAAACTCGATGTCTAAGTAAACTTGATTTTTTTCTTTCAGATTCTTTGTCAATTTAGCTTCACAGCAAAAAATAATGATTAATTCTAGATATACCCACATTTTCCCCTCACCTTTATAGACATGATAAAAACAAAAGGATCTGAATTTGCTATAGAAATCAAAGTTGATTGGTTGAATTTTGAATTCGACAGAGAAGATGATAACGCCGGAAACAGAGGAGAAAAGAAGAAGAAAGAGAAAGAGTTAAAAAGTTTAAAATTAAGTGGGACCCACAAAATTCCCTTTATCTTAAAAATAAAAAATAACACAAGATAAATTTAAGGATTATCTGATTTGGTCGTTGGGTTTGGGATTAAAGGTTAGTGGAAGTCTGAGTTGGCAGCTGACTTGGAAAAAAGATAGGGGGTCAGCTGCCACATCGATGAGGCGCTAGGGTTAGGGGTATTTTTGCTTACTTTGTTAACGGTAGGGTGAGGATTGAACGTATAGTATAACGAGGGAGAAACGTGCTTAAATGCCAATAGTACAGGGGCAATAATGGCCTTTTTCCCTATATTAAATGCTCGAATGATTGCATGACACGTGGTACTCCGAGAGGAAGCACCTGCACTGGAAGCAGACCCGAGGGCACCGGTCCGAGTGAGAACCTCCTGCAACCACCTCGCAGTTTCTGCGGGATCGACCAAAACATCCTCGTCAGGGCAGGAAACAGAACCCTGCGGGCCCTGAATCAAACAAAAAGGTAGGGTTAGCAGTTTTTCTTATGTACAAATAAGGCGGAATGAAGGAAGAGTCGATTTACCGTGGTTCTTGACCTTCCACCGTATCTGGGGGCCAACTCCTTCCACAGACGGGTATCTGGTGTAATAATGTCCAGAATCTTCTAAACATGTCGGTCCAGGCCTTCAACCCTAGGTGGTGTCCAATGAGTAGCTAAAATAACAAAAGAAAAGGGTTAACAATGATATGGAACGGCCTTTTTCGTAGAAAGGGGTAGTCTTTGTACTTACGTGAACGATTCAAGGATTAGGGGAAAGATGTAGTTGTGGCCGAGATGATATCCTTGGTAGTAATGACGATAAACCGCTCCATCCATCCACAGTCATTGTCATCATCCATACTGGTAAGCAAAGCATGATGGTTACGCTTGCTGAAATTTGTTACTCCCTAAGAAAGATTTTGGGAGAGTAGATGTTCATCATATGTGCTAGCTAGGGTGAGGGTCTCCCCCGTTTTCAAGCACAGCCGGTGCAAACTAGCCACTATTCGCCACATGGAAGGGCCTACTTGTGTCAAGCAGACCTGATACCGGTGGCAGAATTCCAATATCACGGGATCAAGTCCGCCGCTCAATGAGAATGGGCCCAAAGTGAAGGGGTACGTATAAACGTACGTAAAACCCTTCTTAGTTAAGGTCACCCGCTCCAGCAGGTCGGGAGCAATGATATTCAGCGCATGGCAGTCACAATCCTCCTGCACAGCAGGAATACTGGAAGAAAGAATAGAAGAAGGATATTTTTCAACAGCCCAAGTTCGAGGGTTTGAAATGGGGAACTTCTCTTGGAAGTCGCGTAGGAAGTGTTCAGATGTTTAGGTATAATGGTGCTCACCGTGGGATCAGTATCAGCATTAACTTCCTTATCTTTGCTCTTCTTCAGGCCCCCACCGAAGAGAAAACTAGAGCTTTTTGAAGATTTAGTAGGGGGAAGCCATAATAATAAGGAGATGATAGAGCTTTTTGAAGAAGATCACGGAGATATAAAAGCAAAAGAAAAGTTAAGTACAAAGAGGTTAAGAAAGCTTATGAGTTGTTAGAAGTGAAAGAAGAAGAATGAAGCGTATAAGTAAAGGTATAGACGGCTAAAATCGTGGTCATGATTACCTCGAGAACCGGCAAAAATATTGCTAAATCGTGGGGTAACACGTATTCGGGATACTAAATGCGAGGAGACGTGCGCTGAAACTGTTCAGAAGGGTTCAGAAAATTTTTCGCCAAGAAAAGAATCTTCACCAACTTCCCAATAACACAAAGATGTACCACTGAAAAGTAGTTGACTATCTGTATAGGGTAAAATTGGTTTATATTAAATGTTCGAATGATTGCGTGGCATGTGGAACTGGAGGCAGACGGAAGATAAATCGAGTGGAAACCAAGACCGAGGACAACAACTTCGGTTGGTACCGAGTAGATCACGAAGGGAACGCGATCAAAGGAAGCAATTGAATGTTTGTCACCAGATGGCATTTAATGAATAATATTCCTCAGTATTAAATATGTATCCGTTTTAGAGAATTTTGGCATTCATGGCCTGCCGTTACATATTCACCAATGGTCCCTTTTATTGTCATTTAAGAGGGACTTGATCCTAGTATCTTGTTCCCTAGGTATAGCTATAAATAGTGGCTTCAACAACCATTGTAACACACGAAATCTCGGGCAAAACTTATGCTACATGCTATTCTCAAGCTAAATAATACAACTTTTGTCTAGTACTGTTCTTATCGCTGTCTCCGAAAGCATTGCTCCCGGAACCAGGCTTGCCGTTTCCTTCGATTTCAACGCTAAGTCTTTTTTTCATTTAATTTTTTGTCATTTTGGGAACAAATCAGTAGGCTTGTCTATAAACCACGCAATAAATTTAACAGTACCGTTCTACGGGTAAATATTAGGGAATAGTACAAGATATCCTTCGGTGCCACAACTTTTCTATTTTCGTTTCCGATGTTTTGAATCTTGTACTAGTAGTTTGATGTTTAATTTAAGGGAAATATTATGTTGGATTTATTTATTTTTTTGTGGAAATAGTAGCTAAATAGACCCTTGAAAACCGTAAGGTGACAACTTCTGGGTGGTATTGAGATATGATTTTGAAGGATTTCTCGGTTTTTCGTTAATACTGTCTGAAACTACCGGATCTATTGTTATTGTATTTATTATTAGCATACCGTAACCATTATGTTTATGTTGTAATCCATAATAGTTTTTTCACCTGGGTAAAAATAAGAAAGCAAAACTTAGCTCTGCACCTTTTTTGCAACTTGTGCAGAACCAATCATATCCACCCTAACTGGGAGGCTCCAAAAGGATGAAAGATACATCGCGAGTCACTAAACGAGCATTAGCACCAAATTTCACGGTATAGCCAGTTATCGGACTGGTCAATCAAAAATAGTCAGCGCTTACCAAGTCAATGAAAAATAGCCACCGTTTTGTTGCAATAGAGACCGGTCCAGCATAATATACTGGAGTTCGTTGCACTTGTGTATGAACTCCAGCATATTATGCTGGACCGGTATACTTTGCTGGCTCCAGTATAATATACTGGAGACTGGAGCACTGGTACTCCAAACTCCAGTATATTATACTGGACCATTATACTTGCTGGAACTCCAGTATATTATGCTGGAGTTCTAGTGTATTTATGCCGGAACTCCATCATATTATGCTGGAGTTCCAGCATACTATCCTGGAACTCCAGTATAATATGCTGAAGTTCAAGTATACTTATGCTGGAACTTCAGCATAATATACTGGAGTATTTTTCGGGTTTTGAACAGTGTTTTCGCTCAGATTTATCTTTACGTAAAAAGTGGCTAAATTTCGATTACTTTTGAAATTGGGCTATTTTTGAACGATCAGTTATAAATCTGACTATTTTTAAAAATTACCCCACCCCTAAATCAAGCATTTAGGCGGTACTTTGAGCCCAAACCCGTTTAACTCGCTCAATCTATCCAAATTCCAAAGGGCCAGTCATTGATCGGCTCATTTGTTGGACTCATCCCATTTTAACAAGCCCATCTAAAGTTGGGGTGATTTTTAGACCACATTAATCCACGAGTAACTTTGTTTGATATTTTATATAAGACTATAACAACAACAAAAAAAAAGTTACTATTTGATAATTAAACAATTTATAAGAAAATAACACACATAAATTAAAGTTTGATAAGAGTTAGAGGCTCCTGTCTTTATTATAAAGCCAGTATTTTAAATGTCTTTAGTCTTTAGCCACTGGTTTAATGAACTTTAACTGCCCGGACGAAAATACCCTTCTGCTTATGTCCTTAACTTCAGGACTTCAAAACTACATGTCCTTAACTTTTGAACTTGAAACTCTAAGTTCAGAACTTCAAGACTACATGTCTTTAACTTTTTAACCTGTAACTCTAAGTTCAGGACTTCAGGACTACATGTCCTTAACTTTTGAACTTGGAACTCTAAGTTCAGCACTTCAAGGCTACATGTCCTTAACTTTTGAACTTGGAACTCAAACTTCAAGACCAAGCGTCCTTAACTTTTGAACTTGTAAGTCAAAGTTAGGGACCTATTGTCCTTAACTTTTGAACTTGTAACTGTAAGTTAAGCACTGCTTGTGCTTAAATTTTGAACATGTAACTGTAAGTTAAGAACTGGTCGTCCTTAACTTTTGAACTTGGAAATCAAAGTTAAGGACCTATTGTCCTTAACTTTTGAACTTGTAACTGTAAGTTAAGGACTGCTTGTCCTTAACTTTTGAACGTGTAATTGTAAGTTAAGGACTGTCTGTCCTTAACTTTTGAACTTGGAAATCAAAGTTAAGGACCTATTGTCCTTAACTTTTGAACTTGTAACTGTAAGTTCAAGACCAAGTGTCCTTAACTTTTGAGCTTGTTAGTCTAAGTTCAGGACCTATTGTCCTTAACTTTTGAACTTGTAACTGTAAGTTCAGGACCAAGTGTCCTTAACTTTTGAGCTTGTTAGTCTAAGTTCAGGACCTATTGTCCTTAACTTTTGGGCTTCTTAGCCTAAGTTCAGAACCTATTGTTCTTAACTTTTGAGCTTGTTAGTCTAAGTTCAGGACCTATTGTCCTTAACTTTTGGGCTTCTTAGCCTAAGTTCAGGACCTATTGTCCTTAACTTTTGAGATTGTTAGTCTAAGTTCAGGACTTCAGGACCTATTGTCCTTAACTTTTGAACTTGTAACTGTAAGTTCAGGACATATTGTCCTTAACTTTTGAGCTTGTTAGTTTAAGTTCAGGACCAAGTGTCCTTAACTTTTGAACTTGTAATACTAAGTTCAGGACCGAGTATCCTTAACTTTTGATTTCCTTCTTCTTTATAATTTTTTTTTATGATGCCTAACCAAAAGGCGTTTATCATATTGAACAATCTTCTCCTGCAACCAAACATAAAAATGGCTCCTCAGAAAATATGGTAAAACTGAAGAAGAAGAAGAAGAAGAAGAAAAGAAAAAAAAAACACACACACACACAAGGTAGTATGCAAGTTATATTATGCTTTGAAGCAAAATCATGATTAGCACATCAATTTACTGAAACCAAATCATGCGGTCAAAGCATAATTAGCACATAGAACATCAGTTTACACAAATTTATGCAAGGAGGCAGTTAAGAACATATACTTCCACCATATGACTGAGATTGACTTCCCTTTAAATGAAACAGACAGTAATTGAGAGTGGAGTCTTAACACCATAATCTAAAACTACACAACCAACTACATCTGCAACCTACATAGAAAAAAGCATACCTAAACCACAAACTATGACTAAGAACTGGACAACATAGCAACCTAGAAAGAATACCTATGACCTTTTCAAGCTTCTCGAAAAGAGATTTCCTCAGATTAGAAAATGATCTTGTTAATAATTCCCTGATTATTAACAAGTCTAGCTCCGCCAACCCAGTCTTTACAATCCACTGTAATTCTGTTTGGGAAGGAAAGGGTAACTCAGTCTTTTCATATTAATTTTAATAGGCTAGTGGCTAGTTTTGCTCAGCATTAAAAATGGTGGATAAAAAGTAAATACCACTTTAAATAGTGGCTACCCCACACAATTTTTACAATTTTAGGTCATCTTGGCCCAATTCATCTCAGCCCAAGTAACTTTTGTGCCCTAATTAGTCCAATCCGCCCATTTATGGGTCCGACCCGCCCATTTATTGACTCAGTCCATTTTGACCTACCCAAAATCAGACCAAACAGCCCATTTATGGAATCAATCCATTTTGACTTGCCAAAATTAGCCAATCCATTTGACACCCTAAATGGCGTGGGGTAGCCACTTTTTAATGTGGTATTTAATTTTTATCCACCATTTTTAATGCTGAGCAAAAATAGCCACTACTCTATTAAAATTAATACGAAAAGACGGTTTTACCATTTCTTCATTATGCTGTGTAAATATTAAGGACATAGTGCCCTTTACTTCATGAGTGTTGTGTAAATATTAAGGACATTTTGCCCTTAATATTTACACAACACTCATGAAGTTAAGGACATGATGTCCTAAAGCTTAACAACAGAGGGTGCAAATACAGGACACTTTGTCCTTAATATTTACACAAATACTCATGAAGTTAAGGACACCATGTCCTTAATATTTACACAACACTCATGAAGTTAAGGACATTATGTCTTTAACATTTACATTACACGCGTGAAGTTAAGGACACCATGTCCTTAACATTTACACTGCACTGATGAAGTCAAGGACATGATGTACTAAAGTTTAACAACCGAAGGTGCAAATACAGGACACTTGGTCCTTAATATTTACACAACACTCGTGAAGCTAAAGATACCGTTTTCTTAATATTTATACAAAACTCATGAGTTAAGGACACCATGTCTTTAACATTTACACTGCACATATGAAGTTAAGGATAAGATGTCCTAAAGCTTAAAACAGAAGGTGCTAATTCATGACACTTTGTGCTTAATATTTACACAACACTCATGAAGTTAAGGACATCATGTCTAGCAGAGGGGTATTGTTGTCTGGGAGGGGTAAAATTTTATTAAAGCACTAGCTAAAGAGTAAATACATTTTAAACAGTGGCTAAAGAGTGCATACAGCTCTAATTGGTGGCTAACTGTGCACTTCCCCTACAAGTAGGGGTGTTCATAAAAACCCGAAAACTCAAACCAAACCGGCCAAAAAAATTGATACTTTTTTTGTCTGGTTTTGGTTTTGAATTTTAAAAACCAAAGAAATTTTGTATAATTTTGGTTTTAATCAAAACATAACCGAAGAAATCGATCCAAACCGACGATAGAAGTAGCTATTTAAATTTGTTATTACACCTATATACATGTATATTCTTATACAAAGCTTCTAAAATTTTATGGTACATGTTAATCGTTTACACTTTTAGTCTAGTTTTTTGCTATTATAATAATCTATTTTTTGCCTTTACATTCTAGTTGTAGTTTTCTTTTGCTAAGTACGAGAATCTGTTTCATGTTAAAAATAATCTATTTTTAATTGAGTCCTTAAATTATTCATCACTATTTGATTCAATTATTATCAATGTATCTTGATAAATGATAGATTTCTCAAAGAGCGATTGGTTTGATAGTGTTATGTTGAAAATGTAATCGCCGGATATGTGTTTTGTAGACAGATAAAAATCCCAAAAATCCGAAAAACCGACATAAATCGAATCGATAAAAACCCGACTTAATTGGTTTGATTTGGTTCCAATGATTGAAAAACCATCTTACTTGATTTGGTTTCTTTTTAGTGAAAAACCAATCAAAACCGATACATGAATACCCCTACCTACAAGCATTTATTTAGAATATAAATAGCGAACTTAAACATCTTAGTAACCAAAACAAAATTAATGATTCCCGTAGTAGTGCTAGAACGGAATATATGTGCTTGAGTGTATCTTTAAAGCTCAATTGTAATGAAGATCCCCTGGTGGAGACATAAAGACTTTGTCTCCATAGTTAATTGGAAACCACATCACCAGAAATGAATACTAGTAGCTGACTACAGTAATTAACAAACTTGTTCCTTGTAGCCAAGAAAGATCCATCTGCACTTAATTAGAAGTTCTTCCTTTTCCCTTTTTCAGGGGAACGGGGGATGGTGTATTGCTCATTATATTTAATTAATATTTTTAAGTTTACGACAACATAAAGATTTGGTGAAAATCGAATCTTAGAACCCTATGATGCGGGATAACAGCTTTGCCGCTGAATCATTATCCTCATCATCTATAATTAGATACAAGGTTTGAAGAATGATTCTGTGTGAGACATTCATTATACATAAAGTAAAAAGGACGAGAAAGAAACAACAAGAATACAGTTAGAAGCGAGCCCAACAACGAGTGCATTTAGCCACACAATCACCTTTGCAATCGACGTTGTAACCTAAAACTTTTGGATTTCGAAGAAGCACTTTTGTCAGAGTTTTACCTTCAATTCCCCATTGTTTCGCCAAGATTTCCACATTGTTTTTCATTTCATCTTCAAGGCTACATCCAAGAACTTCTGGGAATTTCTTAAGAAGTTTAGTGAGATCATCATCAGTAAGGCTTAAGCTCCTTAAATAATTCAATATCTCATTCACAACTTCGAGTCTTGGAACCTCTTTCTTCCGTTCTTCATACCAGTAAGGTGAATGTATCTGGCCAAATGCTTTTCCTAAGATTTTGTCTTCCTCCTCGGGGCTAAATTTGAATGCAGACAGAGCTTCTCTGCTATCATTCCATGTTTTCTTCTCTTCTTCAGTTAATTCTATATTGTCAGTAGCTGTTGAATGCAACTTCCATTTCTTGGAGAAATAATAATCAGATGTCCAAGATCCTTTGGTGACATTTGATGTAATGTTATTCGAGCAATTTACATATCCTACTATATTGTTTGGTGCTGTCGAGCCGGAATCACACTGTTAAGTAAGAAAAAGGTATTATAAGCTACTTTCACCAGAGTGTATTGGGCTGATATTGAAGACTGAACATCACGGAAGAAATGAATGATTTTGTCTATCAAAAACAAAAATGAAACAACCATTCCTCAATCCCAAACTAGTTGGGTCAGCTATATCAATATCCTCAAATAACCATTCTTCGGAAAATCATCATCTCACAGGAGTTAAATTAACCCTCACCATCTTTCTACGGATCTTGCTTAGGCAGAATCTGATACACACTTGCAGGGGCGGAGCTAGAGTGTAGCCAACGGGTTCCGCCGAACCCAGTAACTTTGGTTCGAACCCTGTATTTCTCTTAAAAAATCTATTGAATATGTATAAATTTTTAATTTAAAACCCAATAACTTAAAACGATTAGAATTACGAACCCACAAGCTTGAAATCCTGACTCCGCCTCTGCACACTTGTTTCAAAATGCAAGATTATGAATTCTTTCAACTTAAGAGTATGCAGCTCCGAGATTTCAAAACTAAAAGCATCAATTGATCCATCAATCAATTATATCTCATTCTTAAACTAGTTGGGGGTCAACTATATGAAAGTCCTATATCTACTCTTCTTTGTTTGACCCTTTTCCGAACCTAAAAGCATGTCAGAGAACTGCTCTTTCCTTCCCCTAGATTTTGTAACATCAGAGATGATATAGGCATTCCACCATCATAGACTAGCTGAAGATTTTTTAACATCGCAATTTTATAGAGTCCTCAGATACACAAGTACCAAGAGAATAACAAAGATAAAATTAGTTATTAACCAATACATAAAAAATGAAATACAGTCAACCCTCTCTATGACATCCTCATTTGTTCCGATATTTATTGGCTTTTATAGTGAATGATTGTTATAAACTTATAACAACATTTGGCGTTTAAATATTTTTTGGTTGTCATAGATAAAAGTTATCCAAAAATTAAGTATTTTTCCTTTTTTAATATTACATATAAAAGATAATAAAATTATTCAAATTTATAATCTCAAAAGATATGCATAATTCACTAGTTAAATATTGAAAAAAGCTAATATATTATTAATAAATTCATAACTAAAAGCATACAGATTTAAACTCTAAGGAGGACATTTTAAAGCTACCTAAAAAAATAAATTTTTTCAAGATTAATGGAAGAATTTTGTAATTGTAGGCTTGTAGCTTTTTCGTAGATTTCATTCTATTATTAGCGATATAATGCTTGAATTGACGAAGATTCGTATCAAATTTCAGCAAAAAAGTATCCAGTAGCTTTCTCTTGAAGACAATCTAAGAGCTTAACGGATAAATTTTCTATCTAAATATTTATTGGAATTTGTCCAATGGAAAAGATATCATGTGCAAATCTTCAAATCTTATGCAAGATAGAAACTTTGTTAAATGGAAAAGATTGTGTGCATATTTTTAGCATTATTATTAGTAATCTCAAAGATTCTATATGGTTGTTATAGAGGGGTAATTTTACAAAGAGCGTTCTGCTATAAATATGGATGTTGTTGTTATTGGTAAAAAGTTGTTATAGAGAAGTAAAATATAACTTAAAAAATCGGTTCTGAGAATAACTTGGCTTTTATAGTGAATGGTTGTTATATAAGGACGTTATAGAGAGGTTCGACAGTAAAATATTCTCTTTTCTAACTTATATGACGCCTTTTCCATTTGATTGTTTCAAATAATTTGACACCATTTCATTAATACTTTTTCTTTTGTAACAGTGGTGTCCGGGCACCTCAATTATTCCCGTGGATATCTGCTACCTCCAATCAGCTCAAGCATTTTCTGTCTTCGCTAGAATTTGAACACTGGTTACCCGCTAATTTTCATCCACTTTATTGACCACACCATTGATTGTTCCATTCATACTATTACTCTATACAACTTTCAGAATTCGTGTGATGTTTTCTCTATCCACTTTTCAACTGATATTGTAACATCTCATACTCTGTATCTATTAAGCATCGTCACATAAAATAAAACAGAAATAAAAAATAAAAAATAAAAATCACAAAGGAGATATTTGGAGTCTAGTAGCCCCAGCATCAGGGATATTGAGATTAAATACCACAATTTCTAACCCTTGAAACGAAACTAACCACTCAATGGTTTCTACCAAAATGCAAAAGAAAAGAAAAATGTAAGGCAGAAGTTATACTTACACCAGGAGAGGAGAAGCATGATGCGGAGTTAAAGGTCAGCAAAGGAGAAACAAATGATTTTCCTAGCATCCCTGCACCATAAAGCATAGCGTGACAAATAGTTAATCGATCTTATCATTAATGAGGCAAATCTAAATAACAACGACGATGACGACAAAAACAACGGTAGTAATGATAATAACAAAATGAATAAATGGACAAATGTGAAAATATAACTCTAGACACCAATATTAGAATCTGTCACACTAACTAATTTCCTAGCGAACATAAGATCGCAAAGCTAAAATCCTCAGTGGTGGATCCCATAAACATAACCATCTCTCTGTTATTTATACTAGTAGGAGCTGCTCCATATTATACCATGAGGATGAGAACTTACCGAACTAATCCTCCAAAACTAGCTTACTAAGAGGTTCAATATCCTACATTTACAGTTAATGCATAGATCAAGGATCAAATACGAGAATTTGGTTATTAAATCCTTTGGGGAATGGTTATTAAATCCTTCATAATCCGAAAATGATCAGGTGTAGGGGAACCGAGACTAAAGACTTCTTGGAGCCCTCAAATAACGCAAAGGTAGCAATATGTAAGGACATGATACAACAGAAATTCACACAGAACTTGGAATTTTCATCATGTAAAATAGCGATCCATCATATTTATAGACATATATATTGATCGATAAGGTCCCTTATAGTGTATAAAACAACTAGTGCATTTGCTTGACAAGTAACTTAAGCCCCCCTACCCCTGTAAAAAAAAAAATTCCAAGAAGTTTCATGAGAAAAAGTCAAACCATCATGGCAGTATGGTAATTCTGGCACCACCCATTATCTGGTGCTTTTAAAAAATCAAAAGGCCTAAGATACAGAGTCTGTTTCTTTTGCACATTCCGGAGACAATTCTTTGCAACATGATTACCCTTGGACCCCAACCATCATAGAATTAACCCTCTTCATAGTGTACAGCAACGTACTGTCCTCTTTACTTGTAGTCAAGATATGCCAATTCCTCCATTTTCTCTCTTGTTTTGAAAACCACTTGTTACACAAACATGAGTTTTAATTTGATGCTACGTATCACACTCATCTTCTCACAGCATAAGCAGTGTTGTCAAATGCATGCTTAAAGTGCATAAGCGAGGCAAAACATGTTGAGCGCTCTGCTTCGTTTCGCTTAGCATGCCCTTCAGTGTTGTCATCAAGGCTCTAAGACATACTTTTCCTTGCCAATGAACGAATCCTGAAGAGGCGATACTATACAATTGATATTTCACTTTATCGTAATTTTATTCAATTTATTTGACCATATATTTGTTATTCATGTGTACTATTATTACCGTTGGACTACCCACACATTTTTGTAATTTTCTCCATTTGAGCCTTTCTTCATTAAAGTTCACGCTATATATGGCCGCTTAAAGCCCCAAACCCTTTTTGCCGTTGATAACATTGACCATAAGGTTCTAACAACTCTCACGGAGGCCCATGTCAAAGAACTCAAACTTAATCACCATTTCCTTGGTATTGCTTCTTGTTCGTAATCAGTACACTACATTCTACCTAAATCCGGCTTGGTAGCTCCTATACATATACTTAATTATATATTAGTAAATGTTTTAGCCATGTTCATTGTAATGTTCATGAATGGTTTAGACTATTACAAAGAGAAGCGTGTCAGGCTAATAGAAGAAAAATTATTAAAAGAGAAAATTAATAAATTCCACAAAACAGGACAAGACTTACGTGGTTCGGCAATTTTTGCCTACTCTGCGACCACACAGAGAATAGGTTTTATTATTGAAGAGAAAAGAATAAATTGTGATGAGATGATCTGTAAATGAGGGGCATAGACATATTTATAGGTTCTAGAATACTCGTTGATGTTATCGCATATGTCATAGGAATGACATTTAGAGATAAAGTCTCACCTGACAAACTACTTCATATTATTTTTTCTTCTTTGCAGACATTGCAAAGTCATCATTTGCCTATTGTATTTGCCCTTTTTCTCTTTTCAATTTCTTTCTTTCTTTTCTTACTTTTAAATTTGTACAGGATTTGTGCCCTTCAATCACATGTACATTAAAGAAAAAGAATTACTATTCTCTAATGTGATACCTTCACAATATTAGTCTTGAAGGGCAATTGAGACAATACATAACTTCAGCTTATCAACAGTGACTACTTTGGTCAACATGTCGGCGGGAGTATTTTATCCTTGTACCTCTGCGGGAAAGAGTTCCTTCACTTATCAACTATAGGATATGATGATCCTCAGGTGGAAGTGTTCTGATCTTGCGTGAAATATTAAATTCTTGGCAAGACGAATTGCACTTTAACTATTACTGAAGAGTTCACAGTCGTCCTATTCTTTTCCAACTATTTCAGAAAGTTCTTGAGTCAAATGATCTCTTTTTCTTCTTCTAAGATTGCCATGTATTCTACTTAAGTGGTAGATAGAACAATACCTTTTTGAAGTCTGGACTACCAGCAGTACCACCCAAGGTGAAAGCATAGCCTGTAGTACTTTTCTGCCTATCCAGATCACCCCCTAAGTTTTTGTTTAATAAAGGTAACAGTATATTCATCAACACAAAGCTTGTGTTGGAAATCACAATTACAAATAAAGGAAGAGACCAATTTACATCTGTCCAAGATTCTTCTTACAAGGACTCTAACAACTCTAATAAAGTCTCCAAGGCCAGAAGCATAGAAGCATTGTTGTTGTCCAGGATTGCATAGAAGCTCGTAAGCCCCCTTGACTGAGAAACACTTGTCTTTGTTCCCTTTCCAGATCATCCCCTAAGTTTGCATCAGAAAATTCTTGTAAGATAATATTGGTCGTTTTAAAACAAAGTGCATTACTTGAGATGCCTTTAAGGTATCGCAAAAATCCATTTTACACCTTCCCAATGCTCTTTTTCTGGACCTGACATATATCTATTGATAACTCCAACTGCATGGGCTATATGTCAAGCCTAGTAAATACCATAACATACATCAAACTTCCTACTGCTGAAGCATATAGTACTTTAGACATGTACTTTCTTTCTTCATCTATCTTTAGTTATAGCTCCTCAGGCAGATTAAGGTACTTCCTAGCGGGGTATTTTTGGTGTTCCCGTCATGATTGAACCTGCTAAGCACCTTTTGTATGTATCGTAATCACAAAAGTTGGGAAAGAGATGATTTGGCTCAAGAACTTCCTAACATATTGGGTAAAGAACAGGACTACTATGAACTCAGTGATAGTCAAAGTGCAATTCATCGTTCCGAGAATCCAGTGCTTCATGCAAGATCGATGCACATCTAGCTAAGGTATCATCCTATCCGGGAGTTGATAAGCGAAGGAACGTACAAAGAATCGAAGAACCCTGCCAACATGCTGACCAAAGTAGTTGGTGTTAATAAGTTAAAGTTATATATTGTCTCAATTGGCTTTAGGACTAATAATATAAGCGTGTCACACTAGAGAATTGTATTTTTTTTCTTTGATACATGGGTTTGAGAGAGAAATTGATAGGAACAAACCATGTACAAAGAAAGAAAAGAAAAAATGAAAAGGACAAAGAGAAAAAAGTGGAAAAGTTAGGCAAGTGATAACTTTGCATTGTCTACAAAGAAGAAGAAAAAATATGAAATAGCTTGTCAGGCGAGAGAATTCATCTTTGAATATAATTCCTATTAGTGTATCGATTATATCAGCGGCATATTCTGAAACCTATATATAGGTCTCTGACCCTCATTTGCAAATCATCTCATCACAATCTCTTCTTTTCTCTTCAGCAAAAAAAACTGTTCCCTATGTGATTGTGGAGTAGACAAAAATTGTCAAACCACGTAAATCTTACCTTGTCTTATCTTGTGAAATTTATTTATTTTATCTTATTAATTATTTTTTCCATCTATCAGCCAGACTTGCTTTCCAACAGTTTTCATAGCCACTTGTTACACAAACATGCGTTCTAATTTGATGCTAAGTATCACGACTGCATTTCTCTCAGCATAAGGTTCTGACAACTCTTTTTTTTTTTTTTTAGGGAAACCTACATGTCAAACAACTCAAACTTAATCAGCATTTCCTTGGTATTGATATACATTCTACCTAACTCCTGCCCCATAGTCCCTTCCAGGTTCCAATTACTAAGTTGCAAAGGAGTAAACCTTAATGTTCATGAATGGTTCAAAGTATTACAAAGACTTCCACTATTGAACTGTTAGATATGTAATTACTTCAACCATTTGTCTAACTCTTATTATTTCACTAACTATTACCATTTTAGGTACTTTATTTTTTCAGTATTCGAAATACATAACCAAGATTAAATCTTGTTTTCATTTCACCCCACCAATTTCATATTCATCGACCCACTATCAAAAGCCACTTTACTTAAACAACTAACCCTAAAATAGAGAGTAACATCTACAATAAATTGAGTTCCCATGCATAAAGGGTTCAGATGAATCATAATAATTTACAGATATCAATCGGACAACCCCACCAAGAAAACACCTACAGCTCCGAAACAAATAAATAAGAAAATCATCTATCAATCAATAGTTAAAATTCATGAATTCTACCTTATATTCCAGCCCAGCTTCAAGAATGAATGGGGAAATCAGGAAGCAGAAGAACAACAGAGAAAAATCTTGGAAACAGATACCACAGTTGAGCTCAAGTAAAGGGAAAAGAATGTACGGGTACAATCCCAATTGAGTTGCAACGAGAAACAGAGTAGAGTGGACCCAAGGTTTTTGAGTGTGCGAGAAGGGGACAGGAAAATGAACTGTGTCCTTTCGCTCCATTTGGGTGCCCGTATTTAAGAACGAAAGGCCAATAATCTGCTGAGATCATCCAATTTTTTGTTTGACAACATTTTCTTTTTGTTTAAAAAAGAGTAACATTTGGCTAGCGTTTTAGACATAGATTTAGTTGAAATTTGAAAAAATAATTTTTTAAGTAGTTTTCAAAAATAAGTTAAAATTATATTTGGACATGCATTTTATTTGAAAAATTTTGAAGTTTTGTAAGTGGGAGAACAAGTTTCACGAACTAGATTTTGGGAACTTGAAAAATAATTTCAGAAATTTTTCAAAAATAGATCATTAATCTATGAACAAACAATGTTTTCAAAAAAAATTTGAAAAAATGGTGCTAAAATGTATGGCCAAACGGGGCCTTGGTAACTCAAGCATTAGGTCACTTGGATCGTTTAGTTACTAGCTTAATACTATATTCCCGATATGGATTTGAAATTATTAGCCCGTTTGGATTGGTTTATTTAAGTGTTTTTAAGTCGAAATAGATTTTAATCTATTTTGTAGTATTTGAATAAAGTAAAAAAAGAAAGTGCTTTTAGCACTTGTTTTTAAGCTAAAATGACAAAAACAAGCTAAAAGCCAAAAATTAAAAATTCTAACTTATAATTTAAAAGCTATTTTAACTTAAAAGCTACTTAGAATAAGCCCATCCAAACGGGCTCTATACTTATTTCATATTTGGCGTGAAGATTAACTGGCAGGGTACAAATTATATATCAAAATAATGATGGATAGGCTCTGCTCCAATAAGGCTAGCTCCGGCAATAGTCCTCTTGATAAATGCCACGTGGACAAAAAAACTTTAAAGGTTAGATTTGCTTGTTCATTAATTAAGTGATAATTTTTTAACCAAAAGGTAATAAAACAAAGAAATGTTTACTGCCCCCGCTTTCATTTTTTATTTTTCCGTCTCTCTCGTCTCTGCTACATTTTTATTGCAAACAAACATTACACTTTCTCCATAGAATACTAAACGACACCAATTAATATATTTTAAACAAAGAAAAGAACATCTCATTAGATCTAAGGAAAAACAAATGGGTGTATTCTTTAAGCTTCAGTAAATTAAAATTTCTTGAATTTTAGGTGAAAACTAGCTAGAAAAATTAGTAATGTGGATAAAAAGAAAACGTGATTTTGATTGTTCTTGATTGAAACAGAGCGATAGTGAAGCTCTTTCTTTTCTTTTCTATTTTGGGATTTTGAAGATCAGTGTGTATATACTATATTGTTGAAGAAAAACAAACCAAGTGTTGGGTGACCTGCAGGGAAATGACACCAGAAAATAACGATGATAATACTGCAATAATATTATTTGTAAGCATACACACAAATTGGCTTGAGTCGTGCTACTATTTCAGCAATGTGAAATGTTTCTCTAGATTAAACAAGCTCATCTCTATTTATTTAGAGAATACGGGAATCAGCAAAATTAAATAATAAATCCAACAAGTTAGAATAAACTAGAGAGAAGAAATAATAACAAGAGGTAATGATTTGGTCAATAGTGGGAATAATAATTACAGAAATGATTAGCTAAAGAAGAAAGCAATGATTGCTAAGAAAGTGTAACGAAGACCAATTTTCGTTGATGTCATACAGAGGAGAAGAAGGCTATTTATAGAGGTACTTGGGGTCTTCTTAAATTGCCAAATGTTTGATTGCATGAAAGATGATTGCCACTTGTTTATGTCTTAGCCATTTGGCTACATATCTTCATGCAAAATGCCACATAGTAGGTATTCATAGCCGCTTGGCTTAATAGAGCCATTTGTCACACAATCTTCTAGACCAATACCACATATAAAAAGTTTTTTGATACATTACCAACAATTATCAACATGACCTGCTGACAATGGAGAAGAGTGAAGCAGGTATGGAAATAGAATTACCCTACTTTTTTTATTAAAAAGATAATACCCAGCTAATAAATAAATGAATAAAATATAGGTACTAAATGAATGTAGCCTTTAAAAGTTTCTTGTCCACATGGCATTCATCATAAGGGCTATTGACATATACTGGAGCTAACATTACTGGAGCTGAGCTGAGCCAATCCCCTGATTAACTTACTCATATTAAATATGAGATAATAATACTCGAATTATTAATCCCAAATAATCATCTTTCGAACCAAAGAGTCCCTTATTCCACAGTAATCCTTTATTTTAATATTTCTTCAAAGTTAACTTCGCCTTCACTCATTTGATCTGGTTATTCACTAAAAAGAAGAAATTTATAGCTCTTATTATTATTAAGGAGTGGTGTATTTATTATTAAATAGTGGTGTATTTCTTAAAACATGCTTTGAACATCATGTGCAAATGGTATTTTGTTATGTGATAATAAAATCAACTTGGCTAATGTATATTCCCAAAGATACTTATCTTTCCTAGCGCATTTTGTGTTGAAAAAAGATATGAATGACCAATTGCAAAGGGACATTAATTATATCTGTAGATGTTACTTCCAAATGATGTTATGAGCAAACATTATGGGACAATGAGTTAATAAAGCTTAATCAATTGTGTTTGTATTAAGTAAAACAAGAAAAAAATTACTGACTATGTTTCAACACTGGAATCAATCCTAAATATAAGTTGCAGGGGAAGTGGTGTCATTGACACCCATTTATTATAACTACGTAAAAAAATATTTTATTATGTATATGTGGTAGATATTGACACGTCTTCGCTTCATTGTAAATTTACATCATTATATTTTAACCCCTCTTAATAAAAATTCTTGTTCCTCCGATAGGATAAAGGTTATCAATATTTTTTCCTCTCATATTACATGGATCACCTATGTTAAAATCAATATAAGAGTAGATGATAATTGATGGAGTATTATTAAGATCACTTGCAATTCTTCTCTCCTTGGCCATGCAAGGGATTCTTCCCGGATTAAAAGACAACTCATTTTTAAGGTTATTTTAAGTTTCTGTGACAATATTGGCGTTATAACATATAACAACAAATTAAATAGTAAGATCTACGAGATATAAGTTTTGGCATAATAGAGAATTCATAAAAATTTATCCACGTATGCTGTAGAAAAGTTTTTTTTTTAACGCAAAAACGGTGATTATATTAATAAACAAAAGGTTACATAGACATAACATAGTCCCTCACGACATCACTGTTGTCTAGAGTGGCTAGACAATTACAAACTGTAGTTGGAAGAAACTTAGTACTATTACATATTCCATGCTTGTTCTTGTTTACTTCAGGCTCAACAAAAAGGGGTGGACAAGCATGGTAACAATACTTAGTAGGGGAGAAGTTTTTAACAGCTTCCTTGGCTAGTAGGTGTGCTACTTCATTTCCTTCTCTGAAATTATGTCTCAGAGTTGGGAGCTTCAGCTGGTGCATTAACAACCTGTATTCAAGAGTAATGTTAGAAAGATAATGATTGTCTTCATATATGAGCTTGATAATTTTCGTAGAGTCTGTTTCAATTTTCATTTTGAGGAAATTCATCTCTCTTGCAATCTTCAAACCTTCTTGTAAAGCCATTAATTCAGCATGCGTGGAAGATGTTGCATGGCTTGATTTATGAAATCCAACGGTCCAGTCTCCATTGCTATTTCTAAAAACTCTACCTAGACCAGCTGCCATAGTGTTTTTTAAATAAGCACCATCTATGTTAAATTTAACCGTACCAGTTGGTGGTTTATCCCACTTAATCTCAGTCTTGATCTTATAAATTTTGAAAGGGTTTTTTTCCGTAAAGAAATTAAATTCCAAGGCTTGGTGAATAACTTTTTGGGCCTCAAGGTCAAGATCAAGATTGTTGAAATTGTTGTTATTCCTATTTTTCCAAATGTTCTAGATGAAAAATGGGAATATGGTCTCCCAACCTGTTGAACGGTTAGTATTCTGAATGAAAATCTCTTTTAAACTCATAAGCCAATGGGTGATTATCAATCGTTTGAGTCGGAATGCGCGTATTGTTCCAAAAGCGCTTAGTAGCTGGGCAGTGTAGAAAGATATGATGGATATCTTCCACATTCTCCTTACAGATCGTGTAGGTTGCATCAATATTAATGCTAATATGTGCTAATAAGGCTCGACAAGGAATACGATCATGCATTCATTACCAAAGGAAGAATTTGATTTTGTTAAGGCTGTGATGTTTGGCTATAATTACATATTTTTAGTGCATTATTTATCTTACATTTTGGTGCTTTAATGCTAAACTATACTATATTTATGCTTAATTGAGTTTATTTGACGTGTAGATACATTGGAAATGAAATTGGAGCAAAGTAAATATTTAAAGTATAATTCATGCGCAAAAACAATGTGCTTATTATTATATAATGATAAGGTGATTACTGAATTGAGAAAGAGAAAGATGAGAAACAAGAATGAAAGCTGAAGCAAAAGTTAGGCAACGAATTGGAGAAGTCAGGCGACGCGAGGCAACTTTCTCGCGTTTAAGCTCGCGTCGCGAGGGCTAACGCGAGATTGTTTCGCGCGTTTGAGCTCGCCAGGCGCAGTCTAGAGCGAGATGCTTCGCCTGTTCCGGTCTTTTCCATACACATATAAGTAGTCATTAAACACCATTTTTAGAGGAGAGAGTTATTTTTAGAGCAGATTCGACCTAAGGAGGGGATTCGACCTAAGGAGGCATGGACACACTAGGAGCAAGTCGGAGAATTCTTCTACGAGTTTTTCACTTCATTCTTCCTATTTCCATTATTGGTTATGAATTATAGTATTATAGTTATGCATACTATTATGAATAGCTAATTTGTTATCTAGAGTTTGGATAGAACCTTTTGTAGGAAAAATTCTTGTTATGTTTTTATATAATTGAGCCGTTGGAGTTATCTACTTGATCAACTACGTGTTTATTGTTGTTGATTGAATAGCCATCAATTGACTGTGCCTATTTAGTATGTATTGCTTGGAAAATGGTACATATTTAGGTAGTTATTGAACAAAATTACTCCTGACGTATGTGAGGAATCAAT